GTCATTGAACAAAATATAAATCTTTTATCCATCTGAATCTCCTTGTAACGATCTTCATAGCAGCCGCACAGTTAACATAACATTTAACAAATGGAAATGGTAGATAGAGGGGAAAAAACCATAGAAATAAGAGCAGGGCCTTAGAAAAAATGTCACTTTTTCTCTGGATAATATCCACCTCCACAAAGGCACCATAAGGTTTCAGAGAAGTCTTGTCCAATGGCAAGCATTGCCACAGTTAATAACAAATGAACATAAAACTGATGTGAGATTATAGAGTAGAACATGGGTGCAGAATCTTTTCTGGCCTGAGGGCCTGGGGGTTGCATAGCGGGGTGGGTGTGGCCAAAGGGAAAAGTGGGAGGAGCAATAGGTGTGAGTCTTGCCAGTGTACAGTAAGCTACATCCAAACCATGCAAGATTCAGAGATTTCTAAGTATATCTCTGGGCTGCATTGTGACAATTCGAGGACACAATCCACCCAGGGAAAGGTACTGAAGCAGGTGGTGGACCAAGGCCAGTAAAGGGTAGAACATGAGAATGGGTGTGGCCTGAGAGCATCCTGAGCTCCCAGGTGGGGGGGGCACATTTGGCCTTGGAGTGTAAAGGGCCTCAGGTCTGATGCGGAAATATACCCTCTGGAATTAAGAAATAACAACTTCAAGTGTTAAATTATTCTATGGTTAAGATTTAGCTATGTGCTTTATATAGGATTCCCTCTACCTTTCGGTCAGTTACTACTGAAAGTTTTAGTATTCGGGAAATTTCACCATAACATCTAATATGAGCATAATAAGGTAAAGGGTAAAGGACCCCTGGACAGTTAAGTCCAGTCAAAGGCGACTATGGGGTTGTGGAGCTCATCTCGCTTTCAGGCTGAGGGAGCCGGCGTTTGTCCACAGACAGCTTTCCAGGTCGTGTGGCCAGTAGGACTAAACCACTTCTGGCACAACGGAACACCGTCACGGAAACCAGAGTGCACGGAAACGCCATTTACCTTCCCACCGCAGTGGTACCTATTTATCTACTTGCACTGGCGTGCTTTCAAACTGCGAGGTAGGCAGGAGCTGGGACAGAGCAACAGGGGCTCACCTCGTTGTGCAGATTCGAACCACCAACCTTCTGATCAGCAAGCCCAAGAGGCCCAGTGGTTTATACGACAGCGCCACCCGCATCCTGCTGGATTAGGCCAATGGTGCATCTAGTCCAGAATCCACTGTGTTCACCAGATGCCTATTGGAGGTCTACAAGCAGGACTAGAGCACAACAGCTTTCTCCCCATTTGTGATTCTCAGCAACAGGCATTCAGAGGCACATTGCCTCCGACCGTGGAGATCAAATATTCATCATGGGAGGTGATTAAATCACATTTGAGGTGAAGTTAGTTTTGTCTCCCCTGTTTTATTCTTCCCATCTTTCTGTTTTCCACAACAAGCCTCCCAATTAGCTCTGCCTTATTCCTCCAGTGTAATGTTCTTTTGTCCTCATTTACAGAAATGAGCATGTCTTCCAAACTCATTTTCTGTAGACAAAAACGTGGTGGGAATATTGTGGCATGCAGCTACAATGTTTACGACCTGGTTCCATTCCACCTGCATGCACTGGCGATGTGGAAACAGACATGTACTTCAGGGGCTGTAGAACAAGGCCTTTAGTGAAATCTTCTCAACAGCACTACAGGTAGCATGAAAAATTCAGCTATGATTGACACTGGGAAAAAATTTCTCCAGAAAAATGCCCTTGCTAGTGAGTTAACATGTGGTTTGGGGCTGTTGGTGGTGTTGCTGGGGATATTGATTAGCCTGAGTGAATAAAAAATGCTAATCCCCGGGACTCCCATGTCAGATATTTTACTTACAGCGAGTGCCTATTAGACCTCCTTATTGTAGTTTTTGGTCAATGTTATATTCATGCCCCATCTTTGGACGAGGGCCAGCGCAACCGTTCTGAACGATATCTAAATAGGAGCCATCGTGGCATGCAGAGCACACACTGATGCTTCTTGTCTCTTTGATGGAAGCACGTGACAGGAATACCAAGCCCCAAAGAGGGAAGCGCTGACATCCGCAATGCTAATTTAGATCTGCAGGAACTGTCTTGCAATGCCAGATAGCAGGTATGACCCTGGACGAGAATGTATAATTATACTAATGCTACTGCTGCTGTTGCTTAGGTATTTGCAGTCTTTTCCAGTAGAAAAGGAGGCAGGAGCATTTATCCTTCCATGGGGACAAAAGGAAAAAAAGAAAACTCACCACGGAGAACTGAACGGCAGCCAGGAAAGAATTTTGTTGTCCTTATCTATTCGTTTTGCATGCAGAATGGGAAGAGCTAGGAATCATCAAACCCCACGACCCCCCCCCCCCATTTTCTGAGAACAGTGTAAAACATATTAACTAACAAAAAGAATATGGAAGGGGACCAATGTGGTAGAAAAGATCCATGTGGGGAGAGCAATGCGGAAAACATCGAACTATATACAGTGGTACCTCGGGTTACATATGCTTCAGATTAAATATGCTTCAGGTTACAGAAATATTACCTCAAGTTAAGAACTTTGCTTCAGGATGACAACAGAAATCGTGCGGCGGCACAGCGGCAGCAGGAGGCCCCATTAGCTAAAGTGGTGCTTCAGGTTAAGAACAGTTTCAGGTTAAGAACAGACCTCCGGAACGAATTAAGTACTTAACCCGAGGTACCACTGTACTGTACATCACTGAGCAGGCCACAGGGGCGATGCTTTCTTCCCATCCTATGAAATCACTTGTTGTTTCTACTTAAATTATGGGTGGAAGCATAGCTAGACTAAATGGTGCTCATAAAATGAATGAATGGATCCATTATTCTTGTAATTTAGGGACAGCAACAAAACGAAATGCATGCATTTCTTAATCTCCGACTTCAGTCACAAACTTTTAAAAGTTCAAAATGGATCACTTCGAAATTTATTTCAAGGGCTTCTCTGTTTTTTTCTTTCCTTCTTTCTGCTGGGATTTGGCCCACATTCAACCATTTATGGGGTGTGTGTAGAGAAGGTAGCCAGGCTAAAACTGGCAGTTCTGCTCCCTTATATACGCGGCATTATCAGGACCAAATCCCAGTGGGTGGGGGGAATATATATCTATCTATAGATATATAGAGAGATGCATATTCTGCAGCATGTCATTAACACAATAATAGTGCATTAGTAGTAGATTTATTTGGCACTGTCCAAAAGTGCCATCAGACTTTTGAGGGTATATTATTATTATTCATGAAACTAATATTTTAGCCTTCTCTTCTGCTTAGCTTTTTTTTAAGCACCTTTGTGTGTTGGTATTCTTTATAACTGGAGTGGTATCCAAATACTGGCAGCTCCCAGTTTGTGCAGGGGTTGTGTTCTGGGTCATCACAGAAGCCTGAAATACCCTGCTATGCCCTATTCAGCCCCCTTTTCCAGCCTCTTATGGGCTGCCGTGATGCGCAGCTATGCACACCCGTGTGTAAACAGGATGCCTGCACTTCATACTTAGAGAAGATCCAGCAAGATCAACGATGGTCTACGTTTTGGAAGTTAGCAAAGGAAAGCCTGTTGCGTTTGGTAGATCCAGTTTGTTTACATTCAGTCTTCTAGGCTGCTTTTCTAAATACATCTAAATATAGTGCCCGCTCTATTTTTTTCTTCAAAGAGGTCAAATACTTTGTTTTATGGCAGGACACCCCGCAATCAGTACACATAAAGCACGAGCTGTAAACATTTCTAATTGAGAAAAATCACTGCTGATGTGTTCTCACAATTGACAGGCCTATCTATGGAGGTTGTGGTGATGCCTCCATTGCTGTTGCTATTAGTTACAGAAGAAAGAGGCAGTTATTGGGGGGAAGTGGACAGCCCCAGGAGAAGTAGGCTGAGGGGAAGCTGAGGAAGCCACAGGATGCTGATTGGAAATGAAGTAGTGTACCAGCCCCCAAAGCAGGTTTGAATATAACTGCTCTGATCCCATCATGAGCACAGATAATCATGAATGTGCAATAGAAAGGATGTCTGAAAGGGCCCTGAAACACACACCTGCCTCATTTTGCTTCTTTGTGTAGCTATCATTGAGGTCACCACAGAAAAAAATCGAAGAGATAACACTTGAGGCCTGAAATCTCTCCTTCTCTTCTCAAAAACAGAGAGACAGACACCCAGCCTTTGAAAAGCAAGGAAGTTGCAGATAACATCTGCCAACCTTCATTCAAACAGACCGAGCCAGACAGAGCCGTGTCAGTTCTGATCCATGGGCCACCCGTGGTTAAATCCTGGATTTGGTGCTGCAGTGGGTCTCTTTCAGTTGCCTGAGTCCACGTTCCAGCTAAACCCTTGCTCAGCACCTCATCCTATGTTGACTATTCCTTCCCCCGCCCTCCACCTTACCTCAGAACTCTGGCAGTCCCCCACCAAGTAAACACCATCAAGCTCTATTCATTTGCTCTATGCATGTTAATGCTAATTGCAGCTTCTCTAAGCATTTCACATTGTTTGCACAAAATAGCAGTGCTCTGCCTTCAAACAGTCAGTACGATGACAGCTGGGATGAGTTTATCTTGCCCTGCTTAGTGTCAGGTGTGTTCTTACAGCTTCCCTGCCTCTTTTTGGGAAAGCTAATTAAAGAACTCTTCTTCCTTGCTTAATATTTACATTGAAGCAGCTGCATCTCATTTGGACATAATGCAAAGATGGCACCTGGGGCTCTTTTCCCAGAGTTAATTTAGTTTCTTGTCCCCCCCTCCACCCCCCGTTTCCCCTACTCAATCGATTAAGTTATAATTTTTGTGATTAGGTTTGGGATTGTGGTGTAAGGAGGCTGCTTACAATGCCACACAGTTCTTCCAGAGGCTACATATGAGCTGGGCAAGCAAAGAGGAGCACACTATAAGTTCTGCCACCCAGGCATCACTCTGCCAGTTGCTCTTTAGAACTTAGCAGGGCTAAGTCTGAAGCAGCAAGAAGGACCTGAAGTCAGAGAGCAGGCTGAAGAAGGGTTGTAGCTCACTGGTAGAGCATCTGCCTTGCATGCAGAAGGTCCCGGGTTCAATCCTGGGCATCTCCAATCAGGTCTGAAACCCTGGAGAGACATTTGCAGTCAGTGCATGCAATACTGGTTTGGATAGACCATTGGACTGGTGACTACCCTTCCCAATAATTGAAGAAGTGTGTCATCCGATAAGGCATGATTACCGCATTATTTTTGGCAATAGTGGGATAGAGCAGACTTATGAAACAGAATGGCTGTAGGCTGGTGGGACGCGGGTGGCGCTGTGGGTGAAACCACTGAGCCTAGGACTTGCCGATCAGAAGGTCGGCGGTTCGAATCCCCACAATGGCGTGAGCTCCCGTTGCTCGGTCCCTGCTCCTGCCAACCTAGCAGTTCGAAAGCACGTCAAAGTGCAAGTAGATAAATAGGTACCGCTCCGGTGGGAAGGTAAACGGCATTTCCATGCGCTGCTCTGGTTAATCAGAAGCAGCTTAGTCATGCTGGCCACATGATCCGGAAGCTGTACGCCGGCTCCCGCGGCCAATAAAGCAAGATGAGCGCCACAACCCCAGAGTCGGCCATGACTGGACCTAATGGTCAGGGGTCCCTTTACCCTTTACGCTGGTGGCAGTCTTGACCAAGATGAATTCCTTTTAATAAATCACCCTAGTCTGGGGTGTAATATTTGCACATGATAATGACCAGTCATTGTATGGCGATAAGTAGTAATCATCACATTTAGTAGCATGAAGAATAGGTCACAGGGATGCCATGTTGCCAGTTATAATACATGCTCATGCTCTTGGAGTCAGACCTCAGACATTTATATCTGACATTTGTACAGTGGTGTTTTGTTTTGGAAGTTAGCAGAAGACACCCACAAGAAATATGTTGTGTTTGGTGGATCCAGTTGTTCACAGTCAATCTTCTAGACAAATATAATATACTGAGTAAAATATATGTTATAGTCTATAATTGAAATCTGCTTATAGAACTCTCTCAAGCTCTGAACTGTGACGTTACTTAAGGAGAAATCTTTGCAATATAGTTCTAGGCTTCATTATTTATAATAGTTTAATTCATTTTCTTTCCATTAAAAAACTCATAATCATAGAGCTTTAATGCTGTAACAAATACACATGTTATCAAAGGACAGATGCTGCCCAATATATGCTTACATATCTGCCTTTGAAATAAATATAATTTGCATTTTTTCACCCACATGAATTAGTGTGGTATTCATACATGAGCAATAGTCTTGACTGTGGTTAATATTCAGATGTATTTCATTAAAATAATACATATAATGGAGTTAACTTTTTTAAAGTAGCACATCCATTTGCCAGATACCTTCCTGATCAACTTAAGCTGGCTACTTTATTATGCACCTTTAAGTACCAGGCAAAAATGATCCTCTTCAATCAGGCTTTGGGCTAATCAACATCCTGTACCCTTTTAAATGTGTTTTTGAGAGGAGTGGGCTACTGGCTTGTTTTTGTTCCTGTTTTTATTATGAATGTTGTGCTTTTTTATCTTGTGTTTTTATGTTGTGAACTGCCCCAAGATCTATGGATGAATAATAATAATAATAATAATAATAATAATAATAATAATAATAATAATAATAATAATAATAATAATAATAATAATAATAATAATAATAATAATAATAATAATAATAATTTTATTTATACCCTGCCCTCCCCAGCCAAGGCCGGGCTCAGGGTGGCTAACAAGCAGTAATAAAAATAAGTTGAATGAATACAACTTAAAAACAAAATTAAAATACAACATTAAAATATTGAAACATTAAAATGTAGCCTCATCGCAGGAGGAGAAAGGAAAAGAAAAAAGAAAGAAGAAAGAAGGGCAGTATACAAATTTAATAAATAAAACAATAAATAATAATATAGATATGTGCACCTCAATACACGCTGAGAATCTCAAAGGCATAAACCAATTTGTTGGAGCCATTAAAAAGCCATGCGGTCACATTGGATTGGATCTAGATTTAAGCCTTGTCCAGGCATGCATTGTAGAGATTAAATGGGTGATCACTGTAAAGACAGGGTGTTGGAATAAATGAGCCATTATCCTGATCCATGTTCTTATGTTAACCAAGATGCATTATTAAAGTTCAGCAAGGCAATAACACTTCGGGTGTGAACTAGGTCCAATGAGGGCTGTGGCTTTTGAGAAGTTCCAAGACCCAGATAGAGAGACCTTGAGGGCCACTCTACTAATTTAATGCCTTCACCACAGGGCAATTCTTCAGACTCAAACAAGCAAAACTAATGTTGTTCCAACTGATGAAAAAACAAAATGAATGAAACCCTTCAAATGAAAAAGAAGTAAGGTCTACTGTGTTCAGTCGGACTTATGCCCAGGAAAATCTGCATTACGTTGAGTAATAGGTTTGAACACTGAATGTGGAAGCTTATGTCTAATGTCAATGAACAGAGAAAAGACTATTAGATGTGCTGCTGGATGTTTGATGGTTATTGTATTTGTTTAAAAACCAATAAAATTTTGGGGTGTTTTTTTAAAAAAAATATCTGTATAAGATTGCCACCTAATAGCAAAATATAAATCATGTTTACTGAGAAGACATATTGCACTCAAGAAGGCTGAGCACCCAGTAACTGCGCTTCAGAATGCAAACCTTGGGGAGCAATCCCAAGCTCCTGGGAAGAATGGCTGAGAGATTATTGGATCCTGGTAGACAGGAAGGTAGGTTTGTGGATATGGAGGCCAGGGTACCAAAATCTCCTTGATGTGAGCACAGAAAGCCCTGGTGCTGTTGGTGGGGTCAAAATTCCAGAGGCATGTTGTGAAATGTTCTGTGATCCACAGGAACGCAGGAAAGATAAAGGTGAAAAACTGTAGCTCAATGCCAGAGAATCTGCTTTGCATGCAAAAGGGCCCCAGGCTGATTCGTTGAATGCCTGCTGGAAGAGCTAGCAAAAACTCCTACCTTAAACCCTAGAGAGCAGCTGCCAGTCAAAGTAGAGAACACATACTACATGGACCCATGGTTTGACTCCGTGCAAGGCACCCTCCTGTGTTCCTAGGCCTTCTCAGTCCCTGGCCATTCACCATAAACAAGATATGAAAACACATCTAGCCCTGGAAGTGTCGTATGTATTTCCCTCCCACTGCATTCAATGGGAGGGACATTTTAAGCAGGGGAAAATAGAGTGGGAAATGAGCAGCGGGAAATAAAGAGTTGGGGGGGGGAAACATCTCCCGATGTGATGGTAGGACCACTGTAGATCTTCCCTGGTGAAGGAAAATGATTGCTTAGTCAGGGTACAGTTATGCAAGTTATTGGTGGACAGAACTTCAAGCTCGATGAAGTCCAGTATGCTGAGCCAAAAGTCAGCATCCCATGAACCCTTCCCCCAAATTCACAAAGACGAGTTCCTGATTTAATATCTATTTCCTGCAATTACTGGCAACTGTAGCTAACATTAAGTAGGATATTACTCATCATCTGCATGTTGAAGAGTTAAGGTAAAATGACAAGATGCTGATTACTTCTCTATCTATCAGGGGAGGTACTCTTATGACATCTATCAGCATGATATCTAATCACTGTAAGAGCGGAACAAATTTATAAAAAGATTCCTCTGAAATTGCAGGTTCTATTTTGAGATATACATATATTTTTTTAAAAAAATACCCCACCATGAAAGCAGTTGTGCCTATGATTGCATTTTCCAGAGACCTACATGCCTCCCTGCTAAATATAGACTTTGTACAGGAGTTGGAGAATGTCACTATGCTTGAATTATAATTAACAAGAAGGCAAAAAAGAGAGAGAGAGAGAGAGGGAGGGTGAGGATAAAAGTGCCCCCGCTCATCAAAGCCAAAGGTGAGAAAACAAACTGACAAAAAGACAGCACTTAAAAACAGGCCATCAAAGTATGTAAGGCATATACAGCAAAATGACAGCAATAAATGTACAAAGTAAAAGGTTTTCAAAGCATATATAAATACTGATGACTCACAAATGGGGGGGGGCAGGTAGCAGAAACACTACGCAAAGAGGAGCCCCGTCATTCCAAACACAAATTGCAAATGCAACGATGCCTGTCGAGGAACTTACAATGGAGAAACAATTTAGCATACAAAATCTTTCCCAGTTTCTTCAAGAGTCTAGTCCAGGGGTAGTCAACCTTTTTATACCTACCGCCCACTAATGCATCTTTCTTGATGGTAAAATTACCTTACCGCCCATCAGTGCTTGATGGAAGGAGGATTCAGCTTGTGCCATAGAACCCCCTACCGCCCACCTAGAATCCTGAAACGCCCACTAGTGGATGGTAGGGACCAGGTTGACAACCCCTGGTCTAGTCCATTGACTCTTATAGAATCAACCGCCATTAAGTTCAGTGGATTCTTCACCATGTTGAACTTGATATGCAGGAAGCTGAACATCCATATGTACATATTTTTCATTGAAATGTATCTTCATATAGTTAGGCAAACTCTTAATAAGATGTAGGAAAATGCATGTTTTCCAAAAACAGCTCAAGTCCTATGCCTTCCCGTGGAGGAAGGGGGCTGGGTAACTCTGGAATGTAGCTTTGGGGCTGAGGAGAATTGCCTGGGGATAGCATCTGGCAGGGGAGTATAAGGCCCAAGGCTCCCTTCTTTGTGTAGAGGACGTTCACTTGGAAGCCAAGTTATTCCAGCCTGTTTTCTGGACTTCCACTGCCCCTCTTCCTAAACGGCCTTGGCCCAGTATACCTGAAGGAGCATCTCCACCCCCATCGTTCTGCCCGGACGCTGAGGTCCAGCGCTGAGGGCCTTCTGGCAGTTCCCTCATTGAGAGAAGTGAGGTTACAGGGAACCAGGCAGAGGGCCTTCTCGGTAGTGGCGCCCGCCCTGTGGAACACCCTCCCATCAGATGTCAAAGCGATAAACAACTACCTGACATTCAGAAGACATCTTAAGGCAGCCCTGTTCAGGGAAGTTTTTAATGTGTGACATTTTAGTGTATTTTTGGTCTCTGTGGAAGCTGCCCAGAGTGGCTGGGGAAACCCAGCCAGATGGGCAGGGTACAAATAATA